AGTGACATTGCTGTCTGGGTTAGGAGCACCCCTTACCTTCCTAACCTGCAGCACTTTGCAGCAAACCTTTTATTGTTATGCAGTTTCTACCTTTGATTAGCTTTATGTCTTTAGTCCTCTTTTTTTCCCTACCTCCTTAATTTACAACAAGAAAACCTTGTATTCCCTCTTTATTTCACCTGCCCTTCCCCATGCTCCCTGCAACTTCTTCCATGCCCTTAGGACTACAAAGTACACGGGGAAGTTGGAAAGTTCACAGCATGAAACACTTGGATATTACAAATTTCTACCAGCAAAAACGCCATTTACGACACAGCTGAAATAATGGCACTGAAATGGCATAAATAAATGGCTATTCCTTCCATCACAGTTCTCTACCCATCATGACACACTCCAATTTGCTCTCTGCTTATCTTTCTTTTCAAACACTGACATCCATATCGTTGCAGAGGGATCCTCCCACACAGAGAAGGATAAACGAGTGATTACAACAGGCACTAACCTTCGCTGGCAGGAGCTGCACAGCCTTCCAGGTTCAGCATTATATCTTCATCTCTGTCATCTGCCCCAGCTCCCAGCAGCATCCAGCTCTCCACAGGATCACTCTCAGATATCAAGCTCTCCTCCTCCGAGCTGTCATCGATCACCAGCACGTCTTGGATGGCCTGAGCTCCAGCAGAACTAATTGGGTTAAGCTTCCCGCTAGGACTTTTCCTTTGCCTTGCAATGCCTGTGCCTGATCCAGCAGGATACAGGGTGTGATATCCGACAGCTTCGGCAGGATTTGGTGTGGAAGATCCTGGAGGGGAATGTCTTTTACTGCGAGCTAAAGAGCTGGCTGACTTCTTTGCTTTGCTTTTGTAGACACTGTCCTCATCTGGTGTGTCAGACAGAACGATGATCTCGGGGTCACCATGGCCCGCCAGGTCAGCCACCTTCTTGTCTTCGTGCTGCTGCTCAGCCAGAACTGAACTGTGACCCGTGACTCCTGCAGCATCAGCTTCCTCATCCATTTCCAGCGTGCTGATTTCTCCGAGATTTTGGGAATAGTGGATCTGGCTGTAGAGATGAAATTCCACCTCACTGTCAATGCTCTGCTCACTGGATGACTCCTCATGGTAAAGTTCATCTTCATACCCTTCTGTGTCCTCGGAATCTTCATATCCAACAAACATTCTGGAAAGTCAATACCTGTATCTACAAAAAAAACCCCAAAAGGTTGTGTCAGAATGGTCATGACTGTGTGGCTGAAGCCACCTCTCAGAGGATACCCTGGGTCTTTCTGAACTTGCTGAGGTAAGTCACAGAGCTCTGCACAGAACATAAAACTGAGCAGACTCAACAGCTACAACAATCAACGCTCAAATTCATAACAGCAAAAGCTACTTAAGGCATCTGCTTTCATCTCAACTACTACTTTAACCTCAACTACCTTGGCTTCTGAAAGCTGCACTAACGTCCTCTCAGCTTCCACAGCTCCTCTCCATCCTGGGCTCAAGCCAGGGTACTTGCATGTATCGGAGCCAAATGATTGTCTGAATCACACCTCTGATTGCTCTGCTGACTAGTATTAATTCTGGGTGCTCTGCACCTTGTTTTATAAAGTTACATCTTATATACCTACCTGAAAGAGCAGGGAAGGAGCACACAGCAATACTGGACAGTAACTTGGAGCCTATCTACACCCAGGCTGCAGAGCCACCTGAGCCACCTTCAGAGCTCACCCCTGTGGCCAGGAGTGCTGGGGCTGTGATACAGAGCACCCAGGCAGGCTCTGCACAAGCTCAGGTATGAAGGTAGCGTTAAAAAGAGAGTAGTAAAGGTAGTGTACAAATCTGCAGCCTTTGCATAAACTGTCATGTCACGTTGTCCCATCTGGACTTACAGACTGCACTACAATGCTGTGGAAAACCCACCTCAGCTACACCTGCAACAGCCCAGCCCTGGCTGTGACACCTCTGTGCTGCTTCCAGTTCAGCAGCAATTATCCACAACCCACAGTGGGCTTCTTGGTGGAGCCAGGGCTGAAGCCCTGTTTCCCTTCTCAGGTCCTCAGGAATACTGCATTTTAACCAAATACAGGGCAAGAGCTGATGGGACACTGAGCACCCTCAGCAAGTTGGCAGAGGATGCAAAGTTGGGAAGAGGGGCTTGTGCACCAGAGGGCTGTGCTGCTGCTCAGAGGTGCCTCAGCAGGCTGGAGAGGTGGGCACGAAGGTCACCAAGGGTAAATGACAAGTCCTGCAGTGACAGGCTGGGGAATCCTGCCTAAAGAGCAGGTCAGTAAAAAGGGACCTGGGAGTGGGACAAGTTGTCTATAAGCCAACACTTTTGGAACAAAAAGCATCCTGGGCTCCTGAAGAACATGGCCAGCAGGGTGAGGCAGGTTATCCTTCTGCTCTGGCCACTGCTCAGGAGGCCACATCAGGAGTGCTGTGTGCAGCTCTGGAAAAGATTGACATCCTGGAGCCAGAGCAGTGGAGGGGCTCTGAGATCCAGGGGACTGGAGCATCCACCATGTGAGGCCAGGCTGAGACTGGGTGTCCTCAAGAGAGGAGCCTCAGGGGATGTGAGCAAGGGACATAAACACTTGATGGGGGTGGAAAACAGGACAGAGCCAGGGTCTTCTGGGTGTTCTCCAGCAACATGACAAGAGGCAGCAGACAAAAAATACAACATAGAAAATTCCACTTAAACATACAGAAAAGCCCTTTTCTGCTCTGTTGCCCAGAAAGGCTGTGGAACCTCCCCCATCCCAGAAGGGGTTCAAGCCCAGGTGGACATGGCCCTGGGCAAACTGCTCTGGGTCACCCTGCTTTGGGCCAAGGGGCAAGACAACTGCCAGAGGCTCATTCCAACCTCAGCTACCCCAAGACAACTGCCAGAGGCTCCTTCCAACTTCAGCTATGGCAAGTGCCTCCAGCGTTCCCTACCTCCACCTGGGCATCCTGAGGTTACTTTGCCTAATTCACAGGATACATTATTTCATTTACATGTCCCCATCATGCTGGAGGAGAGAAAAGGGAATGCTTCCCCTGAAAAGTCCACCTATATTCCTGTGTTACAGTTACTCCTGGGGAAGTCAACAAGCTTTTTTAGAGGTAAGAACCCTCAGCTGCAGTTCAGTTTTCAGCTGTGGAAGGCAGTGGCACTGTAGTGCTGAAACTGACATACTGATACAGAAGTAAAAGTAAAAAAATGTAGATTCAGGAGCTTTGTACATAAATAATGTGTGCAATGATGGTATTTCCAGGACCCAAGGTCTCTCATTATGACAGCTTTCTGTCCACACCCTTCCCGGTCATGGCAGGCTTGACCTCATTTGTATTCCTGTTACACCAGAAGTCAGGCTAAAGAGGAAAACACTTCTACCACAAAAATAAACAAAGCCACACAAACTGCTTACTGACAACCACAGGCTGTACCCTGTTCTGTTCAGGCTTCCAGTAGCTCAGCACAGGTCTCTCAGCCCCACTTCACAGCTACAGGGGCCCCCTGGTCCCCACCACCTGCACCCACACCCAAAGGCCACCAGAGCCCCCCCACCGTGTGCTCAGCTTTGCTCTCTCCTAATGCACCCAGCTTGGTTTCCACCCTAGAAATACTGTCCTGACCTGTAACAAGTGGAGGCCACAGAATCTGTTTTAAAAGCTCTCCTGTCCACGTGGTGACAATAATCTCCTGAAAACCCTTACACCTGTCAGCATGGAACTCAGTGCAGCAGCAAACTGCACGCAGCATCACCTGGGATAACCTGGATCTACCTGGATCTGTCAGACTCTGCCCCTCTCACCTGGGTTCTTAGGTAAACAAACTATCAATGATGCCAAACAAAATATATAAAAGAACGTGGCCAGAACTTGGTGATAACAGCTCCAAGAAATCTATTTTATACTAGTATTTAGGTTTGAATGCCACAGGAGGGAAAAGTAAAACACTGGTCACATGTATGGTTGCCGACAGTAAAACGATATGACAAAAAAGCACCTGACTGACCAAATCAAGCACCAAAACTTAAACATTTCTCTCAGCTTTACATGATGACACCCTGTGATACAGGTCTCAGCCTGCTCCCATCCATGGGGTGAGAACCAGAGCAGAGTGGGCTCCAATCACAGGCACTTCCAATTTTAATCTGTGGTTACGGGATGTGAGCAGAGGCCTTCAGAGATGTGGGAAATGAAGGAATCCCCCAGAGCTGCAGTTTTGGTGACACTCCACAAGCCAGCTCAGGTGGGCATTCTGTCCCTCCCATTCTGTCCCCACTGAGTACCAGGTCATGGCTGAAAACATGCAGCTTAGCAAGACACTGGGCCATGAGTGCCCAAGGCACCTGAGGGGCTGGACATGGCCTCTCATCACCAGCAGCAGAGCCCCAAGAGGCAGCACTGACCTGACCTGGGTCTGTCCTGCCCAGCTCAGCTCACACAGCAGCTCCTCCTCCTCCTGGGTCCATGCAGTGATGAAGGCTCTTCCTCCTGCTCAGCGTGTGCCAGGCACTGCCAAGGAGACACCAACATCAGCACCACGCAGCCTCAGCTCAGCACCCCCCACTCAGCCCCACCTCTTCACAGAGCCAGAAACACCCGTTTCACCCGTTTGGCACCAAAGCAGACACAAAGTGCCTCTAGGAAGGGAGGAGCTCCACAGACCAAGTGCTGCTGCTTTCCAGTGAGCAGTGTCTGACTGTGTTAGACTGACACTCCCAGAAAGATGCATCTGACCACCAGCCTTCAGCAGCTGAGCTCTCCCTTCCCTGATGGAAGGTTCAGACTGTGGCCATCTCATCTTCTGCTGCCATCTCAACTGTGACCAAGACACCCCTCATGTCTGAGTGTGAAAACTACAGTAAAAACAAATCCTGGCCAGACTAGCTGATTTTATGGGTAACAGGGAGCACAACACACGAACGCTCCACACCCTGGCTCTGGCCTCCCTTGTCTCCCAAAACCCACAGCTCTGAACTCTGTGCCACAGGAGACCCCATCTACTCATCAAGAGGAATCCCAGCCCCCCAAACACCCAGCACAACATGGCCCAGCAGCACCTGCCTGCCCCTCTGGCCAGCCCTGAGAACAGCCCAGGGAAAGGGCAACTGATTTAACACAAACATTAGATGTCTCAGCTCCCTAGTTTCCTTTGCCCTCTTCCCAGCAGAGCTCTGGATGCTGCAGGTGGGAATGGCAGGAGGTGGATTTCCCAGGTCATTTACAAGCCCCCCTACCAGCTCTTGTCAGCTGGTCCATTAAAAACCCATATTCCCCACTGGATGGAGTGACAGACACCACCAGCCTGGGCAGCTGTGGGCAGCACAGACCTGTCCCTCTGTTGGGTCACACCTGTGGCACACGCACAGGGCACAACAACGTGACACAGAACTTCCATGTTCAAGTGCAGGGAAGTGAGACCTTTGGCTTCAGCTGCTCTACCTGCCCCTGGGAGCAGCACAGCTCGTCGTGGGAGACAGGCCATGGAAGCACTAATTATCAAGGAGCACAGCACCAAAATGAAACTCACATCTTTCCCCTTCTTGCTACGCTAGGAGGGTATGACAACACCAAATCTCAACTTTTTTTTTTCCTAAAAAATCCCAACCATTTATGGCTCATGCCAGAGTTTAACATCAGGAGACTGTTTTCATCATGTTTCTGCACCAAATGCAACAGATTTTGGCTGACATGGGCCACTAAGCACCCTTGGAGCAGGTGAGATGACACCATTTCTGCTGCCCCCCCAGGTGAGAGGTGCAGCGCCCCTGGAGCCACTCCCCACACCCATGTGCCCCATCCAGAGCAGGAATTCCCTCACAGTGAAGCATTTTAAACTGTCAGGAGGTGGGCCCAGGGCAGTCACCCCTGGGTGTCCCCAGGCCCCTCCCTGCTCAGACAGCAGGCAGGCAGCAGCCCCCCAGGGCTCTCCTGGGCCTGACATCTGCTACCAGGTATTTCTGGCTAAACTTTATCACTCGTTTCCTCCAATGAAAACTCACATTGCTCAGCACTGAGATGTTAAACTCATTCTTGTGTCGAGCTGCTGTTTTGAGAAAATGCCTCTTTCCTGTACTTTCTTTAAACAGTGCACAGAAGTGTAAAGGAGAGGAGAAGAGCTTTGGAGAAGAGGTAAATGTTTTCTAGTGACAAGCTATACCTTCAGCAGATCACAGGAATTTATCTTC